TAAATGTATCGCTGCCATGAATTTTTATTATCATACCTAGTTTTAGTTAATAATTAAGCTCTGAGATGATGGAAACGGGAAGAAAAAGTGAACTAATACCCAGCGTTATTCAGAAAAATTGTTGTTCAAGCTAACAAATCTCTGAAATGCAATCAGCCAGAGCTTAATTTGCCTCATTATCTGCGTATATTTAGGCACTTATCACTTAGGCGTATCTTATCACTTGCAAGATAATACAACCTTGAATAAAACAGAGTTCGAAGTTGATTGGTAATCGAATATAGTTCGAAAATAGTTATCGCAAGTCAATCATCGAATGCGCAGTTTCAAAACTTCGCTAAGCTGCCAGCCAAGTCGGTAGCCTTAGCTCAGTGGTTCCCAAAGTGGGCGATATCGCCCCCCTAGGGGCGGTGGGAAGATTTTGAGGGACGGTAAGGAAGAAGAGGGCGCTTGGGGGGGCGACAGGGTGGGCGGTAATCCGAAGTCAATGTCAGAAGTTCGAACGTTTGTTTGACGATTTGTACACAACACGTGCAGCACATGACTCCCAGCGATGGTTTTTTTCTATCCAGATCTGTTTTTTTAACCTCTCCTGGGTTTACGTCTCGGACAAATTAACGGCCGGACTCGCGGCCGGTCTCGCGGCCAATTTCTAAATTCAATGATAAATGAATATCTCTCAAACTAATGAATTTAACTCAATGAAACTTGGTACACGTATTTATTAGGACCTAACTGTAGTGATTAGCTCGTGAAAATTTTATTGATTTTGCCTTCAATTGTCTTTGCCATAGTTATATGGCAATACGGGCCGATATTCACAGTGATCAAGGAATTTCTTCCAAACTACTGAACAGATTCGAACGGAATTTTGAATTTACAGTCCTAACTACCGAACGGTAATGTTTAGCTCGTGAAAAAATTTTCGATTGTCCCTTCGTTCGCGAGCTTATTTTTCATTTCCCCTTTATTCGTGATTAAAACAGCTATATACGCGCTTAAATTTGCAGTAATCAAGAAATTTCTTCCGAACTACTGAACAGATTTGAATGAAACTTAGTATTTACATACCTAACCTCAAAAACGGTGATGTTTAGCTCGTTACAATTTGATCGTTTTGCCTTCGTTTGCGAGTTGTACGGCTATACGTATGCGGCTATACGTAAACGGCTCTTGGTTAAACCGGCCGGTAGAAAGCCGTTCGTTTCTCCTATATCTGTATAACTCTAGAAAGAAGATATTCTTGAATTAGAAGAAATTTCTTGATCGCCGCGAATTTAAGAGACAAATTAGCCGGCGATACGGGCCGAAGATAAAGAAGTGTGAAATCAAGAATGAAGATGAAGTGAAAAAAACTCGCAAACGAAGGTAAAATGGAAAAAATTTTTAGAAGCTAAAAAATCACCGTTTGGTAGTTGAGAATGTATATTCAAAATTTCGTTCAAATCTGTTCAGTAGTTTGGAAGGAATTCTTTAATCACCTCGAATTTCAGCCTGTATCGCAATATAACTCACGAACGAAGGTGAAATTAAAAAAAAAATTAACAAGCTAAACATCATGCACCGTTAGGTTCTAACCTGAATACAGGTTCCAAGTTTCATTGAGCTGCGTTCATTAGTTTGGGAGATATTAATTGATAATTGAATTTGGAGATTGGTCGTGAGACTGGCCACGAATCCGCGGCCGTAAATTTGCCCGAGACGTCCTAGGTTTCTAGTGCTGAAACAGTTAAAACAGCTGAAAAACATATGGGTTTGATAAATGGGCTCTATTTGTGAAATACATATTTGTGTTTAACCTTTATCTTTTAAAATTGCAGCGTACTAAATTTCAAGAAAGAGGCGTATGTTTTTATATGTGTATGTGGGGGGCGCTAGAAATTCACCAGGGAGCCAAAGGGGGCGCCAGCCTGATAAAAAGTTTGGGAACACTGCCTTAGCTGGAAGCCACAATCCTAACTCTCATATGTGCCCTAAACCGCTTGTACAGACATCGCTTCGGATACATCATCCATTGTTATACTTCCACTTCCACCAGCTATTCAGCATTGAGCGAGACGTGCTAATGGAGAGATGTGACTGAATACCACGAGCATTACATTTACTTCTGACATTCAGATGAATTACGTCGTGGATCATTTTTTCTTCCCAAGTTTTATTGTCATATTTTAATGAGACTTTACACAGGACTGGTATACTCCTTCCACTCGTGTATAGGTCATGCCATGTTATTTTCCGATTTTAACTCTATTTATATAGATACAAACAGAAGGTCTGTGCGTGTTCTTTTACTAAATTTCACTAATATTAGCCCTGTAATTATAATGGGGGAAATATTTCTAGGTGAGTGTGAATTGGAAAACGGGCAGCGAAAACGTGCGACGGGCACCGTACTCTACTCTAATAATTACTCTACCGTAATGTACGAGGGTCGATCTGTGGACGATAAAATCGTAATAATATGCATTAAATATTTTTTTTTACATTAATTTCTTTAATTCAATAAGGAAATCTCACGGAAAAAAATATTGTCACTGTCTCAGACTGATTAAATTTTGGGAAAAATATAAGAAAAGAGAGAGACGAGACGTTTCCTATCGTCTCATATATTTTAAAGTTGGAGACTCGGAGTGATTACTCCACCAATTTTACGTTACGTTCAGGTTCAGGTTCAAGATACCGGTATTCATTACTTATCGTTTAGTCAGGTGGTTTGCCGAGTGGCACTTGATTTGCACGTGAATAAGGTTCTCTTTTTGGACAGGTTCGGCAAAATATAGTACAGAGAGAGGGTGTAATGAAACACTGATACATTTCATATTAAATTGAGAAATTTCAAATTCACATCCTACGTTAACAAAAATCTCTAGTACATGAAAAACGTAATCCGCACACAATCAAAAGTCCGAAGCTAACATCATTAAATCATTTAATATTACCGGAAAAAGCGTGTGATCCGTTGCAGTTCCGTTGAGCCGTACGACTGTTGTAAACGACCGTAACTTGCGCACATATTTACGGCTGTACGTTCCGCGACCGTACCGCGGCTGTCACCGCGCGTGCGGCCGTATTTCAAGTGGCCGTACTGCAGCTGTATCGCGCGTCTCTCTTCACAGTTGCTCTTTCTTCATAGCTGTCGTATCTCGTTGATATAGATGTCTCACGGTCAGTCTGGCCGTAGAGTTGATGATGACCGTACTTCGGAATAGTAGCGTAGTCTTCATTGTCGATGATGTTACTTCGGCTCAATGCGGTGCTTCGGCGGTTGAAGATGAATGCAATCGTACCGCTTCTTCTTGATGGAAATCGTGACCGTTTCGTACTGATGATTTTTGGTGTAGAGCTCGAAACTTAGATCTTCTGATGACGTGCGCTATTATCGTTGTACATCTCGTGGTTTCTAGCGAGGTCTCATGACTAAGTCGCAGCCGTAGTTTTGATGTTGACCGTATAATATGTTGAAGGCGTAGCCGTCCATTGTATATGTTTGACGCACTCACAGGAATAGTAAGTGCCTCGGTGAGTCTAAGTTTCTCGCGACCGTCAATGTTCGAAAACGGTAACACCGCGGGCCTGACGGCCGCAGCCGTTACGTCCGCTAACTGCAGACAGTACGTGCGCGACGGTCAACTCCGTAGAACCAACAACCCTTGGCGCGAATTTCTAAGGTCCTTATATACGCTAGTGTCGCGCACACTTAAGCCTAACCCTCGAGAGACGCTACATTCCTTCGAATGGAATTTCCCTCGCAACGCTCGTTCAATGTAAACTAACCTTTCCCACGGTCTCGAAACAACCGCGGCGCATTCTTAGCATTCTTAACATCTATGCGTAATACATGTTCAATATTACCTACTTTCAATATTACCTACTTTATTCAAGACAAGGCATTGTTTGATGTTCGTTTGAACGAGGAACGAACGAGCGAAGGTGACCATGTGACGTACGTCAGTTATCGGCGGGACCAATACTGAATTACTGATAGTGGAAGATAGGCAGTGTTGCAACGACAATCGAGGTCTTCAAATCGATTACGCGTTTGCCTCTGTGTAACTGTGTTACAACGAGCATATCAGTTGAAACCGATGGGTATAGTTTGAAAAATATTGAAGAGAAAAACATTGAATTGATACAATTGTTTATTGACACCTTTTAATAACTTTCTCAGTACCTGAAGCTGCATGCAGTCTGTAAAATTAATTTCAATGGTATTCGGAATTTTTTAGCTAAGAAATATACAGGGGTTGGACAAAATACGGGAAACACCTGACATTTTGATATCGTAACTTTTAAACATGTTATAAACAAAGAAAAAGAAACATAATTGTACGCTTTATTGTTTGTTATTGCTGCTAATTGATATTTTATCCTTGCACACATAACTTTATTAATTTTTGCGTCTATAACCTAACATATATATATGTGGCAAACCTCTCTGACTTTCAAAGAGGCAAATTGCTGCATCCGAAACAATTACAAAGGATACTAAGACTTTTATCAGGAAAGGTATCAGTTTACACGTGTTGTCCGTTCGCTAGTCGTTGTTTTTTGAGTTGATGTGTTGATTTTGGTTATAAGCAATGGTTTCAAATACTGTTTTGCCCTTCTTATTCCTAAAAATATGCGCATCTTTCCGTCAATCAAACTTTCTATAAATCACCGTCAAGCCTCGCTTCAAGCGTCAAACGGTTTCCTACACGGTCAATCACGCTTGATCAAGCTGGCGATGCTTGACTGTTTAGGGGCTCCTTTGAATTTAAATCTAAAAAAGTATTTTCTTGAATAAGTGGTTGATTTAATTTTTTTTTCTTTATAAACCCCGCTAGTTTTTTGTGTTTTTACTTAAAAATGTAAATTGAGGTTGTGTGTGTAAGCACTGCTCATAATAAAATTTTGTGTTACTATGTTACCTTTGACTATTTGATTTATTTGTAACCTGTAACCCAATCTTTCAGACCTTAGAATAATTTTATTCACAATATTAAGAATTCTTGGTTAGTTTTGAAATTTGTGAGTCAATGCTGGCAAAATTTTTTGATTCAAGAACATTTTACCACCTCACTGTCCTCTGGACACTCGTACGTCATCCGTCTAGTCTAGCAGCTGCAGGCTTCAGAGAAGGTACACCCACACTAGCTGCTGATAAGACCAGACCTCCGTTCACTGGCAAGACTACACGCCTACGTATTGCAATTCACTGATGGCCCGAGTTGAGGAGCCTGGACATCCGCGGGATGAGGAGCCTGGACACTCGAACGGTCAGGAGCCTGGACACCCGCACGTTGAGGAGCCTGAACACCCTAACGGTGAGCAGAATGCACACACGCACGTTGCGAGTCCAGTAATCTCATGCAAGATCAGTCCAAGTCTGCACACTCAGCAATCCGATGTTCAGGCTTCGTCACAGAGAGATGTCCAATTTACCGACATTTCCAAGTTCCAAATAATGAAGGTTCTGCGTCACAGCGACTACTCCGTCCAACTATTGGCCCAACATGTCGCCTTGCCTGGCAAGGCCGTGATCACTTTGAAGGTTAGTCTTGTTATATGAGTGTCAATTCTCAATTTTTACATGGTATTGACCATGATTTGCACCATAGTAAACCCTCATTACATTGTGTTCTATTACATGGTATTTTAATCAAAGTTTGTATATGATGAACCTATTCAGTAACATAATGTTTTATCTCAGTTGAAAGTTTATTCAAGCTGTATATATGTCGGGAATTTCCCGTCATGTCTAATTTCTCTTATCAGGGTTGAGAACCAACTTTGTTACAATTGGTCATAAACGCATTCTACCTCTAGATTTGCTCACGGATATTCCATCTGTTCATGATAATTGCCACTGCTCAATATTTTCAAGCATTGGTGATGCTCACGAGTTGTCAGATGTCACGCGACTATACGTAAAACATAAGATTGATGTTATCTGTGTAAAATGTTATCATTTTTACGTACTGATCCGCATTGAATGAGGAATTTAACGCTTTAACTTGTCAAGGGATAAAACACAAACCTTCTGTAATTTAGTCCAGGATATCACATCTAAATTGACTGCTTGTGGATGGACACGGAACCAAGAAGATTGCTTCATTTTGCTCTGTATTGAAATTGAAGTCGAATCTATATGTATATACAGTACTCCCGTCACTCCTTTTGCAGCAGGGGCACAGCAACAATTGCAACAACAATTCCCATATGATTTCAGAGGTTGAGATGACCATAATGCACAACTATTGAGTGATGTAAAATTTATTTAATCAGCCGTTATTTTGGGTCCGGATCGGACAGCTCCGTGGTCTAGCCCCGGACCGGTTTAATGCTTTGTTGAATTGGTAATGACAATCAGCAAAGTTTATTCATTTGTTCTCTTCAAAGAGAATTTTTGGCACATTTTTTATGAAATTGTTCCTATCAGAGTTCATCAAATTGATCAGCTATCATTTTAGATGATGGTGGACCGTCAGAGCATTTGCTCAGATGTGACATCGAGTTTGCATTAAACCTGATAATAAAAAGAGCTCTTCGGGCATGTCACATTCCTGGAGGGGAGCTTCTGACGTGTGTCTATGATGGTCAGAAGTGCTTTGGGATTTTGTGTTCCTTTGGGCATTGTTCCTGAGCGCCCCACCACTGAGCTCGCGGTGCCTGAATTTTCGTGTTGTGGAGTTAAGTCGTCATGTAGGCAGAATTCTTTGTATTTCCCTTTTCTGTCTCTCGTGTGGGCACCGATGTCTCGTGTAGACGACCTCTTGTACGAGTGTCTATACGTTTATGTTGCTGTTCGCCTGTCCCTTCGTCTCTTTGAGATGCTTAGCGCTGCTTATTTCTTCCCGGTTATTACGGACCGACCACAGGAGACCTTATGTGCCTTGTGGATGATTAACGGTTTCTGATTTCGGAAACTTTCGCTTATTTAGACCTACTACCTCATTGGTGATGTACTTCTTGACTTTCGGTGCAAGATAGCTTAAAAGCTGAAGCGCTGGTAAACACGTGGCCAATAAACTAAGTAACTTGGACATGTTACCGAGCAAATATTTATAAGAATAATTTGCAAGCAATTTATTTGTATTGAAATGCATCATGCTACTTCAGAAGGCGCGTTTTGATGTTGACGAGCGGAGGCTGCAGGAGGTGATCTCTAGCAGCCGCTGCCTGACGGAGCTGCTGCGCAACGACGTCTTCAGCCACCACACCGCCCACCTGCCGCCCCACCTCAACAGTGAGCAGCACACTAGTCCGTAGTGAGCAGTGAGCAGCACATAGACCATACTGAGCAGTGAGCAGCACATAGACCATACTGAGCAGTGAGCAGCACACTAGTCCGTAGTGAGCAGTGAGCAGCACATAGACCATACTGAGCAGTGAGCAGCACATAGACCATACTGAGCAGTGAGTAACACCATAGACCTTACGGATAGGGTGAGCTAATCCATCTCACCTAAAGCACTCCTTCCCTGTATGTACGGCCACTCACACCCAGCGCCCCTACCCTCACACCACACAGTCTCCACCTCTGCCACCTTATCACATGCTGCATTTATGCTTCGGCATCACTTTAATAATACGAGCAGATAGCACGATAACCCTGGTTAGTAGATGTCGCCTCAGAAGCAAGTTTAATGTGCAATAATAATGCGTTAGAGAAGCACTAAACTGTTACAGAATCAGAGCATTATGGAAAACAATAAAAACACGTTTACAGCGTGTTTAAATTAAATAAAAATCCTTTATTTGCTTCGCATTTTGGCGGACTATTCTTTTAAATTTTTCCCTCAAATTCACAGAGGTGGAAGTGACCATCAAATATCCGGTAGCGGAAGCTGCGTTCACAACTTTCGACGCCGGTCGCTTGGTTGCGGTGAGTGAGACGGCGGAGCTCTACGCGTCCCACTCCGCGGCCTACATCAGGAGTCGGAGAAAGTTTCACAAGGTTTGTAGCTGCAATTTGTTGACGCTGCTGCTGTTCAAACCGTAGACTTTTCGTCAGAAATCTACGGAGAGAGTCTGTGAACGTAGACTTTTCTCAGAAAAGTCGAGCGCACTTTGAGATTCGAAGGCATACTGCCAGCCATGGACGATGATGGGAGCATGGCTTGGGCATTGCAAACTTGCTTCTGCATGCCCACAACGCTTGTGGTCACAAGGCTATATGTGTGCATTGCATGGATTTATAGGGGCGAACTCTTGTAAGATAATTAAGTCTTGCCCACAGTCGACTATCAATTTTATCGCATGACCGAGTGAGCCGTTGCTTCTGTGTTCAGTTTGCGTCTTGATTACACTTTAAAATTTACTGCGTATTGGCTACATGTTGACCCCAGCTCGGCGTGTCTCAAGTTACTAATGATAACGGTTGCGTCTAGCAGTGGATTTACAACATCCTGGACGACAAATGCGAAGCAGATCGCGTCATCCTGCGTGACTCCGACCCCCTGAATGGCTTCGTGCTGCTGTCAGACATGAAGTGGACGGGGGAGAAGCTGAGCGACCTCTTCTGCCAGGCCATCGTCAACCGCAGGGACTTGGCCAGCCTCAGGGACCTGACGAGGGACTGCCTGCCGCTCCTCTACAACATCCGCGACAAGGGCACGGTGAATATTGTGCTGATTGTTAGGCGCTTCTGAGCAAGTTTAGGCATTGTTTGATACCGCTTATAGTGTGGAGAGTTGTTATGCCAATAAGGTTTCAGGTGCGGAGCCATGGGTCAGCTGGTACATAGGAAGCTATGACCGCTTTATTAATGTGATATCAAATCAACATGGCATGGCAATGGAAGGTTTGGGATTCACCTGCTAATCAACCGTTGGTTATCATTTTATTATTAAATTGAAATGAATGACATAAATGTTCCTTGAATCGTTTCTCGTTGCATGGACTGGTCCACACAGATGGCTATTGAGGAGAAGTACGGCGTGAAGGCGAACCAGCTGCGCGTGTACCTGCACTACCTGCCTTCCTTCTACCACCTACACGTGCACTTCGCCTCCATCAACTCCTGCCATGAAGGTCGGCTGAGTGTGAGAAATTTAGGCTGTGCCGCAATGACCTATTGCATCATAACTGCTGTGTTCTAACTCAGGAGAACTGCTTCATGACCTGCTAGGAAAGTTTTCATACCTTCGTATCTCCTCAAGAAACTAATGCGATGTAATATAGAATTTTTCTGCACTCTAGTTTTTGATTCAGGAGCTGAGATTTTTTGCAATATTTACAATTAAAGGGGCTTCTCACATTCAATAGGTTATAGATCACGAATAATAATGTTCTACTAAATTTGTTTATCGTTGACAGGCATGGAGTACGGCAAGGTACACCCGCTGGACATGGTAATCAATAACCTGGAAATTAAATCTGATTACTACAGTAAAGTGACTCTCACATTAGTAGGCAACGATAGTCACCCGCACCCTCTGCTGCGTAGGGATGAAATGAACGGTGAAGCCTTCATGCCAGTCTGCGGGAAGAGGAAGCGAGAAACTGAAGACCCGCCTCTACTTGACTTGCCTCATTCCAGCGGGTCTCCTAGAGACCAGGGTCCGCCCACGAAGTTGGCCCGAAGATCCCCGAAAAACCCGATGCTGCCGACGTTTCCGAACGGCCCAGGGGCGGCCACCTCGCCTGGGCAGATATTCGATTCGATACCCGCGTGCATTACAGGCGTTCCGTCCGCCGCGGCGTCGCATGCGGCTGGAGAGGCGCCGGGAACGAGCGCTGCAACGCAGGCCCAAGCAGCCGTGGATAAAGGGAATGCGAGGACTCGAACTGGCGCTCGTGGACCTAATAGAGAAGAATCTATTTCTAATGCGGATCCACGATCTCTCGCGCCTAAAAGAAGAAGAACTCGGAAGAATGCCAGAAGAACACGGAAGAAGGTCAAACGAACACGGAGGAATGCCAGAGCTAAGAACAAGGAACAATCGAATAATCGAGATGGCTGAGTGTTCCGCAGTGCAGGATGCGTCCCAGGCTGTCCCAACTGTCACGTCCCTAATAGGAAGACTAGGAAGAAGCTGCTCTTCAGCTAAGCCTGAATTGTTCATGTGATGCTGAGGAAAATATTACCTTTCGGGAACTGTTATTTCGTGAGATTCTAACTGAAGGCAATATTCTCAATCATATAATCGAAATGGTTGTCCGAGTGGTCTAGTTGCAGCCGTTGATTACGCTGCGTCAATACTTGAAAAAAAAAAAAAACATTTAATAATAATTGTAATAGATGTAACAGAATCTTTCAAAGTTTATTGCGGTCTCGAACTCGCAACTCACTGCTCCGATTTTGCTGTGCTTGACCGCCCATAGTTCTTGCAGATTTGACAAGAACTGTCACTGGTAGATGGGATCGAACCCATAGCACAATGTATGAATATGATATAACGTGATGATGATATGGAAAAATAGATTATTTTTTTAGTCTCTTGATTAGTAACAACTCTTATAAATTCTGTGCTGTAATAGCATGAGAATATTATGTTCTTTTATTTTACGGTGATTAATTAATTCTGGGTGGTTCAAGCTATTATTATTATTATTATTATTATTATTATTATTATTATTATTATTATTATTATTATTATTATTATTATCCTTACAATAAACTCGTGTCTATGTTTGTTCATAATACGTGCTCGTGCTCGTGACCGCAGGACTTTCGCAACGACAGGACCTGTGAGTAACCTGAAGCAAGTTCATTTGGCGAGGCATTTATTTTTTGTAATGAATTATCCTGATTACCAGTTTATGTATGTCTACAATTATACGCCCGCAGCTTTTGATTTGTATGATTGTCATTCGTTGAGACGATAGTGGTCGCGATAAAGAGCATCGTTGCGATGCCTCAACTTGCATTCTACTCGATATACAAGGGCGATCCCCCAATGTTACGATGCGATTGTTCGCTTGCTATTTTATCTGAAACAACTGTAGAGGATCTTGCCACAAGACTACTTTTACCAAAATTTCAGCGAATGAACTAGTTCCTACCTTCAACCTAACCTCGGGATGGTACCATACGTGTATCACAAAATATATATCATTTATTATATACGATGTCCAATTGATGAGCATGTTGCTTACTAATTGCACCTACATTCACTTATGTTAACAAAACGCATTTGTGCAACGATAGAATGTCCATGGATGAATAGCTAAATTGATAAAATGTGTCAATGATGAAATGTGTCAATGACGAAAATAATGTCTCGTCAAACATTTCTCGAATAAACATGAAAAAACAAACATTTCCCCAAGAGCAGCGTGGGATCTGGAGTGAATATGAGTGTACTACAATTTTTTTATCTCCCTTCTACCTTTTTTGCTCCCTATTTGCCCTCGGGTTTTACACCAGTTTCCGTCATATTTCACATATAATTTACAAGCGGATAATTATAAAAAATTAGTCGGGTCGCTCTATTAACATAAATGTAAAAAAATATCTGCAATGTTATTTAAAACATTAAATGAATTAGAAATTAAATGAACAACCTGTTCAAGGTTATATATACCAATATAATGAAGCCCGTTTCTTTATTTTACATTCATGAGACATTTCTTTGTAGAGAAACGAATAAATAACGGTTGTCAGTTGATGATTCCTTTACCTATATTACATTATTTTGACTTTGCACTTTTAACCTTTTTCTCCTCTCTAACTACCATCAACAGTGCATATTAAGATTTTTAGTTAGAATTACGACATTAAGCAAACCATTCTTCTCACCTTCAGTAAGCTGCATATCACTGTGCTAAACTCTTCGAATATTCAGCTATCTTCTTCTTGTCTTTAACATATTTTCAGATTTTTAACGATAATCACTTGTTCCTCTATGCCCGTTAAAAATATGTATTGATTTCCGCTTACAACTCAAAAATTTCTGTCTCGGCGATTGAAATTAAATGTCCCGAAATTCTCGAAATTCTCTGCGCAAAATTTTTTAAATTGTAAATTAAAAGAAGATTTTAGTAATTCTTTCAAGAACGGAGTAAGCCGCAGCAAAAAAAAAAACGAAAATTGCTGAACTACCCTTTAAATTTGTTGGAACTATTTACCCATTTATAAATGTCTACGTTTTTAAGTTAAAGTGATTTAATATAATTTTAAGCATTTCACTTATAGTTCCTAGCGGAACAATGGAGTTATTTCACGTGCTATAGTCAGAGTGACTCGAAGCGATCGATACCAGCAGAAACAACCGTTACTGAGGCTTTAGTGGAGCGCGTGTGAGCTGAGAGTTAGAATCCTCCAATATATGCTGCCATAGGATGTCATTTTGGCGGCCCTCCCTACCAGCACACATATATTTGTACGATTCCTTGGGACCAATAGCATCCACTGGTGTTTCACCCACCATTAAAGCCTGGGCAGTGGTGTCGAAATACCCCTTTTTTGGCTTTCGATCTACCTCCAGATAAAGAGTTCGAAATTTACCAGGGTTCGCCGGTAGGCCCCCGCTTCTTAGCACGCTCAAAACAGCATCAACTGTGTTCTGCAGAGTGCAGACCCCCTGGTTTAGAACAGCAGGCCATTAGGTCATCAAGAAATGCCAGTATATGGAGACTCTTTCGCCCTTTACACAGACCCCAGTCGGGTAATAACAAAGTTGAACAACTGAGGGCTAAGAGGATATCCATGCTCTACACCCCTCATGTGCCGGACCTGGTAATCATCCTGGTAACCAGACATGATTATGTGCCGAATGGAGGGTGGGCACCCCTTCTCGGCCATAGCGCGCTCATAACATAACATAACATAACATAACAGTGATCTCGGTGCTGCAGTGTAGGCCTGATGTGGCCTGTCGCCGATTCTTTTTCTTGTCGTGCCTTGTTCACAGAAGATCTAAAATCGTGTCATTTGACCGGATCTTTTCACGACTGACGAGAGTTTGTCCCTGCACCCTCAGTAGGGTGCAGGGACACACTATCGAATGCATTAGCCAGGTCCAGGAAAGCCTGGTGCACTGCAGAATTGTGCGTTTGTGAATGGTATATGACTGCGTCAATGATGGCAAGATTCATTTGACACCCTACCAAGGGTACAAAAGCCTCTTGCCGTTCTATCAGAGGGCATTCCCGCGCCATACTGATGGCAAGAATCTTACGCTTAAATTTGCTTCCGGTTTACTTGAAAATAGAAAAAAAACATGCTACAGTTTTCAGTTGTGTAAAATATTTTAACGAGTTGCCGGACAATTTTAAAAGAGATTGTTCCAAATTCGGTTCAAAAACTAAATTCCGTGATTTCATACGTACCAAGTATTAATTTGATGATAGTGATAATTCAAGTTTCATTGCTGTGACATGTTTTTTAGTATTATCTTGTTGCAGTCAGTGTAATGTTGATTTTTCCTATATTAAATTAATTTTTTAGTGGCCTTATGTCTGAAGTTTTATAGGTAGCCAATATAATAGTTAATTTCTTAACATTGCTTTTTTTCTTATCGCTAAAAGAAGTCCGTATCATTATCGAAATATAGTTTTATTTTTATTTTTATTAACGTTAAAAATTGACTTAGAAACTCTGCATAAAATAAATATAATTCTGTATTTTAACCATTGATTTGAATAGGTAAAAGAATTAAATGAAGCAAATCTATCACAAATGTCGCGTGCAAATTGCTATACCATTATTAGAGCCATTCATGGGAACTTCCTTTTTCGTATTACTTCCTTATTTGGGCACCTTCATGAAACATCATTATTTATGCACGCTTCCTTATTTACACAGCTGTGATTCACGTCCCGGTTGACATCAGCTACCCAGTCGAAATCCAAATTCCGTTCAGGGGCGCCGAAGGCTCGCTATAGCCGCCTTACAGGTAAATTAGACGCCAATCGGCCGCCTATAATATTCGGCAACTAATTAGGAGCCGTTTTCGGGAGTCACATGCCCTAGGAGCCGAATCTGCACAAGACAGCCGAAATAAGCGGCTAAACAGACTGTCCCATGCACGCTCACCCTGCTCGGTAGCTGACATGAGTTCTTATAGCGCGAGCGTGACTTGCCCCTGATTCAGAAACCCAGACGATGCGAGAGTAGAAGCACGACCTTCTACAAGCGTGCGTTTCAACACTGATGCATTGCGTGTACGTCAACGTGTGGGTGTTACATTTTCTATAATACGCTTGACCCGCATACTGTGCGTTCATGTCAAAACGCTTGCGATACGTTTCCGTGAACACGCTAGTGTTACGCTTGTACGAACTCCCTTGCGATATGTGCACATGAACACGCGTGCAATTAAGGGGTGAAGGGGGAGAGAAAGGGAGGAAAGGGGGAGGTGATGATGGGAGAAGGAGAGGGAAGGAGATGAGAAATAGAGATGAGGGGATGAGGTTGGGGGAGGAGATGAGGGCAATAAGCGAAGAGGGACTGAGGGGCAGAGGGAGCTTTCAGAATTGAAGAAAAACTTCCAGGGGGAACTTAAGACGAGGGTAACACCTAATAACTTATTGATATTGTATTTATCATCACATGTCACGCCACATGCCACGCCGCGTGCCACGCCACATGCCGCGCAACATTCCACGCCACGCGTCACGCAATACACGTCAAGATGCGTGTATTGCGTGTGTTCACCAAAACAACAACGTTTCAGAGGCAGCGGTACCAAAATAATCCCCTTAATTTATGCTCTCTATTGAGGAGTGGGGTTTACCAACTACCCAGCTTGAGACTATGCTGGGCAGTGAGAGGTAGTTCGGACTTCGGAGACTGATATTTGGCTGCAGTGGTATACAGTTCTTCGTCTCGTACGGACGTTGGTTGTGGACCATCTCTTGTGTAACTAATATTATCGTGTATATGCTCCTGTTCATATTCTTAGGGTGCTAATTTTTAAATCAACATGTCAACTGGATCGATTTGTATAAGCGAATGTTTATCATTGCCTACGAGGCTACACAACACTCGATTGCCTGGCCAGGATTCATCAGTATAGTCTCACCACTGGGCGATCCAGCTGAACACGATGGAACAGGTTGCAAAGCGTATTCGTAAGTTGGTTGCTCTTGTTCCGTTACTGTCTAGTCTTTTTCGTTTTATCATCAGGTTCATGATTGAGTTACATGCTAGTATAAGGATAAACTGGGATATTTATGAAGAACTACAAATTATTCGACGATAGATTCATGAAATTTTCACCGAGCTCAGCAATATTGGAATGGTCACTGAATTAGAAGTTGGAATGGTCACTTCTCCATTCTATTGTGTGGTCTTTCTTTCATCAATGGACGCAGGATTTTGAGGCCCCTGCAGAACTGATTGCTCGATAGAAATTTAATGTGACCAAAGTTACATAAAACTATATGGCAAATAATTCAACGATTATTTTAAACATAACGTTCGTTCGGCAGGATACCTAGCTGGATGGAATAGGAGAAATTGGCTTGACCTGCAGTACTTGGAATCAGTTATCTTGACGTAACGATATCCACGCCATGTCAAAATAGTTACTAGTTGCAAACGTCTATGCATGGAAATTGAGCCTTTGATAGACTGTT